GCATATGCATATGCATATGGATATGCATATGTATATGTATATGTATACGTGTACGTGTATGTGTCTGTGAATGTGAATGTATATGTATATGTATGTGTATATGTGTATGTATATGTGTATGTATATGTATATGTGTATGTATATGTATATGTGTATGTGTATATGTGTATATATATATGTATAAATATGCTACCCCCCCAGCGACCTACCCTGTTTAGGCCTTTTTAACAAAAAAGAACAACGAAGGCCCAAAACTGGCGTAGTCAATCACCGGGAAATGAAGGACAGTTATTGGGACACCTACCTTACAGACCTCGATAAGCCAGCATTGGATTAATGTACATTTTGAATCTGAAGCAGACAATGCTTTTTTTAGATGTTTAGATCTGTGGTTTTTCTATGCAAATTGTGCGTGTAAAGGGCAAATGATGTTTTGTTGAGCAACGAATGTATTTATACAAGTGTGTTTGTACGAGGCAAAGTATTAATCAAATACTATCTGAAAAGTCCACTGAAATACTTTATGTTGACATATTCATGAAACATTCTGTGTTTTTGAAATAAGTATTCTATGCGAATTTAACTACTAGAGTAATTATGAAGCAAATAGCCCAATTTGACTCAAGTGAATACTATTTAAAGGACCTCACTCAACCAAAATACGAAATAAGCACCATACTCAACCAAAATATGGCAAAGTGTGGTTTAAAGGGCAAATAATGTTTTGTTGAACACCTAGTGGATTTATACAGTTGTGTTTGTACTAGGCAAAGTATTAATCAAATACTATCTGAAAAGCCCACTGAAATACCTTATGTTTACATATTCATGAGACAATATGCGAATTTAACTTCTAGAGTAATTATTAAGCAAATAGCCCAATTCGACCCAAGTGAACAGTATTTAAAGGACCATACTCAATCAAAGTATGAAATATACACTAACGGAAATGGAAGCGGTTCTACTTACATAACAATCAAGCAAAGATTTCTGAAAGACCACCTATATACTATGTCTGAAAAGCACAATTTTTATGAGCAAGCTTTAAAAATGCACAATAATAGAAGCAGTTCTACTTACATAACGATGAAACAACGGTTTCTGAAGTATTCCATAAAGACCACTTATATACTATGTCTGAAAAGCACAACTTGCACAAGCAAGCTTAAACATGCACAAGAACCCTAGAAAAGTATTTAGTGAAGGCCACACACTAGCAAATTCACAAATACAAAAAACATCCACAAGCCCAAGCTTTTCAGGAAATTCTCTGGTGAAGTTTGGATTGTAGGGTTTTGGAGTATCCCTGAACGAGTAGGAGTCACTTTTTAAGCAAACAGTCCTAAGCAATAAATGCGTTTTCTCAAGACAAGTATTGCAAATGCTTCTTCCAGATAATTATTGCTCTTACTAGGCAAATATTATCTATGCGGATTTAGCTACCAGAGCACCAAGTAATGGCTGAATAAGGTCTACTACACTTGAGCACGCCAAAAGGTGCACTAAACACTAGTTGAAAAAAAAGCGAAGCGGTTCTAGCTACAAAATAACGAAATAAATCATTCTGAAGCACTAAAAAGACCACTTGTATACTATTTCCGAAAAGCACAATTTGCATAAGCACACTTAACAATGCGTAGTTATTGCCTCGAAAAGGCGAACCAAAAAACCAAACTACCAATACCAGAAACACCAAAACCCAAAAAACAAAAAGATCCCAAAACAACCAAAACCAAAAAAAACAATTTTCCGGAACTCTCAGGAATCCCTATGAGGCTTCTCCAAGAGTTCCGGACATTTTTTTTTTTTTTTGGGGGGGGGGGGTTTTAGTGTTTTGGTTTTTTTGGCTTTGGTATTTTTGGTTTTTCTACTGTCCCGTGTATGCGGATTTTAGTTGGATTAGTCTACGCCCTAGGAAATACGCTATATTGCACACCGAGTTTGCTTGCAGTGCAGCTGGGTGACTTGAGACAAGGCGACAAAGGGTAGGTCACTGGGGGGGGGGGGGGGGGGGGGGTATATATATATATATATATAGATATATATACATATATATATATATGTCGGTCTATCAAGCGGCAGGTACGGCGTATGCATTCTGTTCTGATTCTGATTCTTTCAGGCCTTCTCACTGTCAAGTGTCTCGAACGACCTGGATGGAAGTCGGTGGTTGCTGGTGACCGCGAACAAGCAACTGCGCCTGTTGACCTTGCGCTTCTACCCGCACACCTGCGACTGGCGCCACATCGAGGCCGAGCCAAGCAGTGCCCAGCATGTCCGAAGCACGTGGACCTAAATCCACAGGGTTGCAAGGATCTGTGGCAACCAACAGAAGCTCTAAGCCTCACCCACATCCCAAACTCCAGGCCTAGCACCCTAGACCCTAAACCCAAAACCCAAAACCCTCTAAGTTTAGACCCCAAGCCCCCAAAGCTTCAGGACCTCGACCGGGCGACGGACCTCCAGCAGTTCTTCCGCTCCTCCAGTGCCATGTTGGCGTCGCTCAGCGTTCGGAATCTGCCCCTCGTGATCATCCGACAGCAAGGCCTGGTGTAGGGTTTAGGGTTTAGGGCTTAGGGTTTGGGGCAAGAGGAGTGAGGGTTTAGGGTTTAGGGATAGAGGGTTGAGGGTTTTGCGGTTGGGGGAATTCCACGAAAGATGACTGAATCCACGCGGAGGCCATCTATTTCTGGAGGTGTGTGAGCTCAAGGGTGTTCATGAGAAGTCTTTGCATGTCATCCTGCAACAGTCACAACATTCACCGGGTAAAGGGCTCCAGTAGAAGAGTACTAGGGAATGAACTAGAGATCTGAGGTACTTGACGATCCGTTTGGATACTCATACGTAGGGTTATATGTAGAACTTTCGTTATGCTACTTAGAACCTGATTTGTAAGTACCCATGCGTCACCAAGTAGTTCTTAGAGTATGGAGGAAGGGCGCGAAACCCCAACCCTAAACCCCAAACCCTAAACCCTAAATCCTAAACCCTAAGCCCTAAACCCTAAATCCTAAACCCTAAATCCTAAACCCTAAACCCCAAACCCTAAACCCAAAATCCTAAACCCCAAGTCCCAAACCCAGGGGTTCTTCCCCAGAGCCAGGTCACTCGTCCTATGTCATTGGGGAAGTGGACCGGGAGATGAAGCCGCCTTGCCCTCTCACTTTTCATGGGTTCCCCCCCATATAAGGTACATATCGGGCTTAGGGTTTAGGGTTTAGGGTTTAGGGTTTAGGGTTTAGGGTTTAGGGTTTAGGGTTTAGGGTTTAGGGTTTAGGGTTTAGTCCCTCCTTACTTATTCCCCCCTCTAGGGTTTGGTTTATCCCTAAATAGCCTTAATTATGGGGGGAACCTCTGGGGGGGAACCTGGGAGGAGGGGGGGGGGGGGTAGGGGATGGTAGGGGTAGCATCGAGGGGGGTAGTAGGGGAACCCTAACCCCAAAACCCCAAAACCCCAAAACCCCAAAACCCCAAAACCCCAAAACCCCAACACCCCAACACCCCAACACCCCAAAACCCCAAAACCCCAAAACCCCAAAACCCCAAAACCCCAAAACCCCAAAACCCCAAAACCCCAAAACCCCAAAACCCCGAAACCCCAAAACCCCAAAACCCCAAAACCCCAAACCCTAAACCCTAAACCCCAACACATGGCCGCCTGAGGTTAATATCCTTAGACGTCAGCAGCCTGGCCGGCTTCAAAACAGCCATGGGCTTCCGCGTGGGCCAGTGGAACTCAGAATTGCTCAGGTTGCTCCTTGGCTTTCTTCTGGCTGGCTCTTAGGACTTTAACTTTTTGGGTTTTTGGTAGAAACTACAACATGGGGCCTAAAAGTTAAACTCTTAGGACTTTAACTTTTTGGGGTTTTTGGTAGAAACTACAATAAGGGGCCTAAAAGCTAAACTCTTAAGAGGGGCTCAGCAGCCAGCCAAGGCTGGATCATTTCATGCACGTGGATGGCGCCCTAAGTACTGCCAGCAGTGCCTGGCGCGATGCGCTCTTCGGGCGCTAGCCTTCTTGAAGGTTCATGGTACTTACTAACCAATTATAACTGTACTTATAACCCTACTTGTAAGTGGGATAACCCCTATAAGGCCCTTTAGGGGTATTATGAGTAGGGTTATAAGTACAGTTGTAATTGGTGAGTAAGTACCATGAACCTCCAAGTTGTTGTCAGAAGGCGTGAAGAGCCTGTGCTTCTCTGCCCTGAAAAAAAAGCGCGCCGGATCGACGTACTCCTGGGTCCGTGCCTGTGAACTCTAAGGCCTCAGCCTTAGATCCGAATGAAACCCCCAAACCCGAAAGTCCCCTCGCACTCCTCAGGCCCCCAGCCCTCAAGCCAGAAACTACGCAAAACCCTCCCTGAAACCCTAAAGCTCTCAAGCCCTAAACTGAAGCCCTAGAGGTCCAGAGCCCTAGAACCCTGGAACCCTCCAGAGCCCTAGAACCCTGGAACCCTAAAATCCTAACACCCCAAAATGGTTTTATGGTTTGGGGTTACACGGAAGCCCCAATGTACACCCTCAAGGCCCCAAACCCTAAACCCTAAACCCTCGAAACCTGAAGCCCTAAGCCTTAGAATCCTTAAGCGCAAGAGCCCAAACCCCCCAAAACCCAAAACTGCATGCATTCCAAACTGTCATACATACATTGGAGTCCTGAAACCCCCCGCCGCAAAGCCCTAGAACAGCAATTTAACCACCCCCCCCCCCCCACCTCCAAAACCTCAAACCGTAAGCCCTAAGCCCTAACCCCCAAACCCTAATTCCTAAGCCCTAAGCCCTGAACCCTAAACCCTACACCCTACACCCTAAGCCCCAAGCCCAAAGCACAAAGCCGATGAGAAGAGGTTGGACCTTGAGTGGAAGATTACCCTAAACCCTAAACCCTAAACCCTGAACCCTAAGCCCTAAACCCTGAACCCTAAACCCTAAACCCTAAACCCTAAACCCTAAACCCTAAACCCTAAACCCCAAACCCCAAACCCCAAACCCCAAACCCCTCCCCTCCCCCCAAGGTTGGAGCTTGAGTGGAAGATTGCCGAGCACGAGCTCGACGTCGAGTCGATGGCCCGGTTGCGAAGCTTCCGCCAGGCCGCACGTAGGGGGTTTAGGGTTTAGGGTTTAGGGTTTAGGGTTTAGGGTTTAGGGTTTAGGGCTTAGGGGGTTTAGGGGGTTTAGGGGGTTTAGGGGCTTGGGGTTTCGGGTTTAGGGGTTTAGGGGTTTAGGGGTTTAGGGGTTTAGGGGTTTAGGGGTTTAGGGGTTTAGGGGTTTAGGGGTTTTTGGGGTTTAGGGGTTTAGGGGTTTAGGGGTTTAGGGTTTAGGGTTAACGGTTTTGGACTTTAGGGTTTTGGGCTTTAGGGTTTTGGGTTTAGGGTTTAGGGTTTAGGGGTTCGGGTTTAGGGTTAAGGGTTTTGGGGTTTAGGGTTTAGGGTTTAGGGTTTAGGGTTTAGGGTTAGGGGTTTGGGTTAAGGGTTAGGGGTATAGGGGTTTAGGCTTAGGGGTTTAGGTTTTAGGGTTAGGGGTTAGGGGTTTAGGGGTTCAGGGTTTTGGGTTTAGGGGGGTGTAAGGGTTTAGGGGTTACGGGTTTACGGGTTTATTCGGGCTTAGTGTTTGGGGGTTGGGGTTTCTTCCTCTTTTTTCGGACTATCAGGCCACTTACGTGGCGTGTCCCAAAGTTTGGGGGGTTTAGGGTTTAGGGCTTTTGGTTTGAGTTTAGAGTTGAGAGAGGTTGAAGGGTTGAGGTCTTAGGGTTCAGGGTCGCGGGCTTCGGGGTTTCCAGCTTCGGGGGCTTCGGGGGGCTTAGGCTTTAGGGTTCAGGAATTGGGGGTTTTGGTAAACCCCAAACCCTATAAGGGTTGTAGGGCGAGGTTAGGGCTTGAAAGGGTTTTCCGTTTAGGGCTGTAGGTTTGGTGGTGTAAGGCTTCCTAAGCCCAACGGTGTCGTGGTTTGACTAGGATTCTTGAGGTTCAAGTTGCGGGCTGCAGGATATTGGGTTTAGGGTTTAGGGTTCAGGGTTTAGGGTTTAGGGTTTAGGGGGCTTTTTTGGGGTTGGGGTTTCCGAGCTTGCTGGAGGATGAGCTTTCTTTTGATGACCCCCAAGCCTTAAGCTCTGAGCCCCAAGCCTTCAAGCCCGAAGCCCTAAACCCTAAACCCTAAACCCTAAACCCTAAACCCTAAACCCAAAACCCCAAAAACCCAAAAACCCAAAACTCCTCGCCTTCTGCTCCCCCAGAGAGCTCAATTACCCCTTTAAGGAATATTCCTGAGTTAAGGAATATTCAAGGATGTAGCTGAGCCCCAAACCCTAAGCCCTAAACCCTAAACCCTAAACCCCAAACCGCAAACCCTAAACCCTAAACCCTAAACCCTAAACCCTAAACCCCAAACCCTAAACCCTAAACCCTAAACCCTAAACCGTAAACCCTAAACCCTAACCCTAACTAATCCCCGAACTCTAAACCCTACGTGAGGAATATACCTTCCTTCAGAAGGGCCCGCGTTACATCACGAGACTCAGCATGGCCCAGGAAGCGCAGCGCCTGATGGGGCACGAGGGTTGGAATTATAGTGTAGGGGTTTAGGGGTTTAGGGGTTCAGGGTTTAGGGTTTAGGGTTTAGGGTTTAGGGCAACACGAGGACCTCTAGGCAGACCACAAATCTGCCGACGGGGTCCGCGACGCCGGGGCCGCAGCGTCTAACCAAGGCGATTCTTGGCAGAACCGCGGCCGCAGCCAAGGGGAGGGCCACGCAAGCAGGGGGTGGGGTGGGGGGGGGGGGGGGGGAAGGCACCCTAAAGCTTTTAGGATATAGGGTTTAGTTTGGGTTGAGGGTTTAGGGTGTAGGATTTAGGGTTTGGGGTTTTTAAGGGTTTTTAGGGTTTTTTGGGGTTTAAGGTTCGGGGACACTGAGCTGTAAACCCTAAACAAGTCGAGAATGTGGCAGGGCCTAGTCCGAACCCACACCCAGAGCCCCCGAGCCTAACGGCCTAGACCTAGAGAACCCTAAGCCCAGCCCAAAACCCTAAACCCTAAACCCTAAACCCTAAACCCTGAACCCTGAACCCTGAACCCTGAACCCTGAACCCTAAACCCTAAACCCTAAGCCCTAGACCCTAGACCCTAAACCCCAAGCCCCAGCAGGCTGTGATGGATGCGGGCCTGGACTCGCACAGTGCATGCGCCCAGACACCGCACTCGCAGCGGCCTGGAACGCTGGTGAGGTATCTGAGGGCCAGGCGGGGTCCAAGGTTTGAACCCTAAGCCCTGAACCCTAAACCCTAACCCCTAAACCCTAACCCTAAACCCTAAACCCAAACCCTAAACCCAGAACCCTAAACCCTAAACCCTGAAATTAAGCCCTAATCGGGTCTATTGGGCTTAAGGATGAGGATTTCAGGCCGTAGGGTCGTTTAGGGTTTAGGGCTTAGGGAAGAGGGAAATAGGGCATAAGCGGATGTGTGGGGTTCAGGGTTTGCTGGCCTTAGGGTTTAGCCCCCTAAATTCTAAAACCCTAAACCCTAAACCCTAAACCCTAAACCCTAAACCCTAAACCCTAAACCCTAAACCCTAAACCCTAAACCCTAAACCCTAAACCCTAAACCCTAAACCCTAAACCCTAAACCCTAAACCCTAAAACCCTAAACCCTAAACCCTAAACCCTAAAACCCTAAACCCTAAACCCTAAACCCTACACTCTAAACCTTTTTGAGTGGGCCTCTTGGAGTCAGTTGGCGAAAAGCCCCTGCTAAGTAAGCGGGTTGGGGTTCAGGGTTTAAGGTTCAGGGTTTAGGGTTTAGGGTTATTGCTGCATTTATGGTTTAGGGTTTAGGGCTTAGGGTTTAGGGTTTAGGGTGCCGGGAGTTTCTTGGCAAAGCTCGGGCTGGGGCTTGAAGGCGCGGCTAGAGGTTCACAGGTTCTCAACACCCTAAACCCTAAACCCTAAACCCTAAACCCTAAACCCTAAACCCTAAACCCTAAACCCTAAACCCTAAACCCTAAACCCTAAACCCTAAACCCTAAACCCTAAACCCTAAACCCTAAACCTAACCCTAAACCCTAAACCCTAAACCCTAAACCCTAAACCCTAAACCCTAAACCCTAAACCCTAAACCCTAAACCCTAAACCCTAAACCCTAAACCCTAAACCCAAGAGATTCCCCGATCGCAGCAGCCCCGCCAGGAATTGGAATCAGGAGTCCGGGGCCAAGACCTGATCCGAAGTAGGGTGGATCTGGGGGTTTTGGTGAGTGTATATAGGGTTCACTAGAAACCCTAAACCCTAAACCCTAAACCCTAAACCCTAAACCCTAAACCCTAAACCCTAAACCCTAAACCCTAAACCCCAAACCCTAAACCCCAAACCCTAAACCCCAAACCCTAAACCCTAAACCCTACACCCTAAACCCTAAACCCTAAACCCTAAACCCTATACCTAGGGACATTGGCGAGTGTGTCCCTTTAGTAGTAAGAATCTCCCCACTCCACATGCCTTTGTCATCGTCAGCCCGAAGGGCTCGGGGATCATGGGCCGAGATAGCGTTAGGGTTTAGGGTTTAGGGTTTAGAGTTTAGGGTTTAGGGTTAGGGTTTAGGGTTTAGGGTTGAGGGTTTAGGGTTTAGGAATTAGGATTGAGGGTTCAGGGTTTGGGTCAGTTCCGACGTTTTTCATGAAGTACCTAGAGTAGCTTATTTTCCCTCCAAAACACATGTTGTGCAGAGAATGAAGGTGCATCTCCCCTTTGTTGTAATGATACATAGACCTAAAACCCAGAAACCCTGAACACGAAATTTGGCTTTAGCTCCTGACGCCTACTATGGGTTCTCTGGGTTCAGGGTTTAGGGTTTAGGGTTTAGGGTCTAGGGTTTAGGGTTTAGGGGTTTAGGGTTTAGGGTTAGTTAGTTAGGCTTAAATGCTGAATTCAGATTTTAGGTCCTCACAGCTCGGGCTCGGGGGCTTCTATAGGTCCTTGTGAAGTGAGCGGCCCCTAGCCTTCGACCCTGAACCCTGAACCC